GATGCCTGATACGGGGTGAATTCTATTTGATGGAGCTATTGATACCCTTTAGTTTTATTTGGCATCGCTCTGGCTCCTGCGTACAGTAGTGAGATGATCTGGGGTAGGTGGAGGCATGGGTGGAAGCTAGGATAAGCATGCTAGTGAAAGACAATAAAAGCCTGAATTGAAACAGTGACAATAGGGATTGGAGGGGGAAGCGGACTCAGAAATATTCTGGAAATGCTCTCAAGATGGGGATTAAGCACTGGCAGCCATCACCTCTTCTTCCAGATCAAACTGAAGAACGGAGCAGAGATAAGCAGAAATAACCCAAGGTTGTCTAGAGCTGGTCTAAGGGAGGGAGACGACTATAGCCTAGGGCAGAGAACAGCCAGAGCCCCAGTGGAGGGCATGCTGGAGAACAGCTTTCAAAATCCGCCCCTACCTCTCCCCTTCACTGCATGGGGACAGTTACTACCTGTCCTTTTAACAACTACCCAGAGTGTCGAGAAGTTAATAAAAAGGTTCAGGCTGTCCACCCTCCCCTTCCAAGCTCCTAGGGCCAATGGGCTACAACTTAACGAACCTGCCTCCCCCTTCTTCTAGAGCAGCTGATGAGAAAGCCATGGTCATAGAATAGCCTGATGGAGGGGCACCCAACAATAGCAATCAACAGTGGTTCTCTGGTACTCAAAGATTCTCCAAGCTGGGGTTCATCTCCTCCCTTCTAATTAAAGTCACCTGGAGAGCCTCAGACCCGGGCATGGCCATTGGCTCCTCCCCAGTACATAAGGGGACACGTACGAGAACGCTCATCACAGCACTGTTTGTGGAGGCTGGGAGTTGGCAGCTACCTGGTCTCCGCCACTGGAGGACCATGGAACCACAGAATACTTTGTAGCAGGTAATTAGAAACAACAGGCTAGATCAGTGGTTCTCAACCACGGGTGATTTTGTCCCCCAGGAAACATTTGACAATGTCTGGAGAGATTGTTGACTGTCACAACTCAGAGGTGAGGTGGCGGGGTGAGTGCTATACTGGCATTGAGTGGGAGAGGCCAGGGATGCTGCCACATCCTACAATGTACAAGACAGCCCCCCCCCAACAAAGAATTATTTGGCCCAAAATGTCAATAAGGCTGAGATTGAGAAACACTAGACTAGATGAATAAAGCAACATGAGCAAAAGACATAGTGCGGAACAGAATTTTTTTTTAAAAAAGAGATGCGGTCTATTATAAAATTCCTATTTGGAATTAGGGATTCATTCAGCCAATCATCTGATGTTCATTGTGTATCTATTCCAAAGCAGGCGCTGTGCTTGGTGGAGTCTACCACTGTGACCAAAACTAGACAGGATTACTCACCTCCCAGAGTCTAGGAGAACCGGCAGATACTAATTAAAATAATCTCACAAATAAAAGGGGGAAGGGAGGAGACATTTTGGAGACTGGTAGGATCTCAAGTTCCCCAATCTCCCACTTGCACAGGCCACATATTTGCTTACATAACACTACAGAACACTACCCTTCAGCAGGGCTCCACACCAGCTTAGGATTGTGCTGTGCACAGTAGATGTTTGTTCAATGAACAGATGAAGGCTGTAGATTCAAACACCACTAACTGACTCCTTCAAAAACTTCTGGGCTGTAACCTTTGAAATGAGGAAACTGAACTGAATGGAGGAACCAAAGGACCAGGCCCTTTGTTGGACAATAACAAGGAGTTCGTGTGTAGATTGACCGACTACTGTTGCTCACTCCTCCTCAAGCCCATGCTCCCCTCACACCAAGCTACTTGCAGTTCCTTGAGCAAACCACGCTCTGGCACCTCCAAGCCTGGACTGCCCTTCCTCACCTAGTCCACCTGGAAAACTCTTATTCGTGCTTCAAATTCCTGATCACCTTCTCTGCTGAGCTCCCTAACCCCACCTCACCCCGGTGGACTTGATCTCTGCCCTCCTTCGTGCCATCTGTACTTTGTGCTCATCTCTACAGCACTTACTATAATTTCTTTCCATAATTTGATTATGAGCTCTCTTGGGAACAGGAACTAAATCCTATTCATCTTTATAGTCCAGAGACTAGTCTAGAATGTAGAACATCATAGATGCTCAAGGTTTGGTGAAATGAAAGAATGAATGAATGAACACATGTCCTGCACTGTGCTACAAAAAGAATGGGATAAAATCTATGCCCTCAAAAAGCTTACCATCTATTTGATGGGAAAAGGATAAATATGTGGAATAATAATTAAAGATTTTTGCTAGAGATATAAACTTGATATTCATTATAAGGAATATGCCTTTTTTTCATGTATGAATTAGAGTATATGTGTTAGGATGTAAACTGCCAGATGGTATACAATTAAATAAATATCCTCAGGTACTCCTGGAAACCCATATCCTCCTATTACAGTATTTGTTATTTGAGTTGATAGCAATAAATGACAAAAGCCGAAATTACAAGCAGAGCCCACTGGGAAACATACAATGCTCGTTATCATGAATGCCTGGCACACAGTGAGTGCTCAATAAACTTTTATTGAATGAGTGATCTGATATTCTTAATCAGAGAAAAGTTATCTGTCCACTAGTGAGGTGGGTAAATGAGGAGTTGAGGTTACCTAGACTATATCCTTCTCATAATGAAAACAGAACCAGCTCCAGCCCAAAACTTGTCCCCTGTATTTAGTATCCAGTTGCCAGAAGGGCTATTCTTGCCCCATTTTGGTAAAAGGAGTAGAAAAGAGTTGTGTGCTAACAAACTATCCCTCTGTATCCTATCCAAGTGGTGATAACATATTCACTCACGAACCTCCCTCCGTCCCCCAGGGTTCCCTGGCCACAGCTGGGGATGCTTGGAGAGAAGCTCAAATTTTGGAGATGAATTTTAACCTTGAGAGTTTAAAATACTGAGTAAAGGAATACTGGATATATGGTAAACTGCACTTTTCTGATTGTTGGGTCAGACAAGGAGAAACCACAAATCAGAATCCAAGTGTCTGGATGGTTGCCAGAGGTAGGATTGAAAACCTTAATGAACAAGAGTTCTGCCAACTGAAAAAAAGCCCCAACTCAAGACCCTTGAAATAAAGATCAAGAAAGGGAAGAGTGCAGGGAGTGTAGCAGACTGGAAAGGAAGCCCCAAGAAGCTTTGTCATCCCTCATTCATTTATCCATTTATGTGCTAAGGGTTATGGGAGATACAAAAATGAAACAGCCTTGATTCCTGCGGTTAAGGACTCCATCCATCAGGAATGTAAGATGCCTACAAATAGCTCTCACACAGCGAAGAAAGTAAAAACCCAAAAGGGAGGTACCAAAAAAGTGTGTTCAGAGACAGAAGTCTCATATAGGAAGCTGTTAGATACTTCTGACAAACATACCAGGATTTTGACAATATTAGAACATCCAGAGAAAAAAAAATCATTGCCAATCCTTGTTACATCTTGCTAAACTGATATCTGCTATTGTCTGTGCCATCATGAGGGCCTCTGGCATCTTCTGGAGCAACACCACATCTTCCCATCACCCAGGAGTGGATAGCTTTTGCTGGGTGACAACTATCCTGTGCAGAGTAGGACCGTGAGCCAGGCTGTCTGCCCACTCCTGTGTAGGCAGCCACTTAATTCTCACAATAGCCCTACAAAGTAGGCACTGTTATTATCTCCATTTTACAAATAAGTAAACTAGTCACAGAGAAGTTAAGTGACTTGCCCAAGGTCACCCATCTGGTAAGTGGGACAGGCAGGATTTGAACCCAGAATCAGTGCCCTTTGCTATTACACTATACTGCCTCCAGCTGAGATCTTGTGGTTAAATTTATCAGGACATATACAGCTGGATGATACCAGGTGATTTTTGGCCAACTTTCCCCTTTAAACACATCCATCTATTTAACACTCTATTTATTCATATGACAAAAATGCATATACCAGTTATTGATCTAACCTTGAAAATGGTGTGGCTTTTCAGGACATGGTTTTCACAACCTTTAAAGGGAAATTCGTTTTGTTAACCTGAAGAAAAAAAAAAGAATCAAATGCCGTTTCACGAGGCGCCAGTGGCCAGCAGGGGTTAAGGTGCACTTTAGACTGCGGTTTGCAGGCACCACCCCTTGTAGGTCATCTCATGGTCTTGGGCAAATCGCTTAGCCTTCTTTGTTACTCCGTCTGCAAAGTGGGTGTAACAACGGTGTTGTCTCATAAAGTGGTAAGGATTAGATGATGATATCCTCACAAATTGCTAAACACAGTAGTTGACACAGTGATGCTCAATAAATGTTGGCTTTCATAATTTAGGTCCTGGGTTACCTGTATTTTCAGAATGCAAGTCCTCCAGTAACCACAGAAATGCTTTCCCAGTCTCAGAGTCGCTGCCAATCCCTTAAGCACATTTCTCTCTATTTCCCACAGAGCACAGTGACACCAGAAGCAGGATCCTGGACCCGAGCCCCGGGGATGGCCCTGTCGCCTCACTCAGGCCCGAGAAGGAGGCAGGCTCTGGACTACGTCCGGGCGGCACCACGAACTTAACCCAGATTTCTCACTTGGGTGAACTCATCTGTGAGTGGAGGATCACCAGCCCTGTCTGACGGGCTCGGCAGCAAAGAAATGCGGGCGCCGGCACCAGGAAGAGGCGCTCACTCACCTGCCAAGCCCGAGGGTGGGCACCCCACCTTCACAGCATCCCTGGGGACTTGGTCCCCTCCCCGCTGGGAGGCCACCGGGGAGCGACCTAACAGTGCCCACAGGGTGAATTTCCCCCAAATCCTCTGAAATACATCCCCACGATTTCTAAGAGGGAGCCGAGGGAGGAACAGGAAGCACTGCATAAAGCCAGGTAGAGAGCAACATCCTGGTGCACATGTTGAGTCGCCCGAACCGGCTCCAAAGTCTGTGCCGCCGCCGCCTTTCCCCCGCTCCCGGGCCGCGTGTCTCCGCGGCCACGTGCGCCCGGGTCCCCAGGCGGCAGCGCCCGGGCGCTCCCCGCCGCTCCCGCCGCCTCCTGCACTCACCAGGTGAAGAGTTTGCCTTTTATCCTGCACAGCAGGCTGGGGGGCGCGCCCGCCGCTCCCGGCGCGTACGGCTGCGGCCCGCCCGGGCCCGCCGGCGCGGGGGCCTCCATGGGGAGCCGTGCGATCCCCCGCGCCCGGAACCCCCCGAAGTGCCGGGGCCCGGAAGACGGGAGGCGGCGCCTCTGCCGGCGGGGGCTCGGCTCGGGCCCTGCGCCCGCGCGCCCGCGCTCGCTCGCGTCCCTCTTGCTCCTCGGCCGGGCTCCTGCCGCCGCAAATCATTAACTGTCAAGCCCCTGGGGCCAGACAATACATTTGCAGATTACAACCTGGCACCTCCGGAGAGGCAAGAGGAGAAAGGGCACTTCTTTTTTTCGCCTTGGCGGTTGAGCCTCAGCGTTGGGCGATACCCAATATGCATTTCAGGTTTTTATGGTTCCTTGTTTAAATCAGCAAATGAGGTGATACGAGGTAATGCCAGCGTGTCCTAATCTAAGAAGCAGTTAGGTTTAACTGCCTGAACTTTGCTAACTGGAAAGGGCCGGCTGACCCTCCCCTTGACCTCCCAGTCTCTCTCCTCCTGACGTTTATAAGAGATTTCCCATCTAAAAGAACTGAAGACGCTTTATTACTGTGTTTCTTTTCCTTGCAAAACACGAGCAAAATCTTAAAAGGATCCTGGAAACGTGTCTTTGTGGTGTGTCTCCTTCCTCATGGGCGTGGTCGGTTGGCCCTTCAGTAGTCAGTTGTCTCGGAGGTGCCAGCGAAGGGGACGGTGCCAACCCCTGGCGCTCAGCCAGGATGCACTGGGCCTGGGCCACATCTTTCGATGCTTCTGCGCACCAAGGAGGGACTAGGAACCGGGGTGGAAAAGTTCCTGACTCTCACTGGCAGGAGGACATCAATGGGTCTGGTAGAGCCCCTGCCTCCAGAAAGGAGGCGATCAGGAAAACAAAAGAAAAGGTGTTGGGACCATTTTTTTTCCTGACCACCTCCTTCCCTGGGCAAGGGGTAAGGCGGGGAGGGGGACAGAGGGGTCGGTGAGGAAGGAGAAAAATACTTTAGTTCCCCCCCTTTATCCGCGATTTCGCTTTCTGGGGTTTCAGTAACCCACAGGTCAACGGTGATCTGAAAATATTAAATGGAAAATTCCAGAAGTGAACAGTTCGTAAGTTAAATCCCTCCCCGCCCCCCCCCGTCCTCCCGCCCCCTGCCCCCCCTGTTGGGTCCTGACCTGGACGTGAATCATCCCTTTGTCCAGTGTATCCATGCTTGCTACCCTCCCGTTAGTCACTTAGTAGCTCTCTTGGATGTCGGATGACTGTCCCAGTATGGCAAGGCTTGGGTTCAAGTAACTGATTTTACTAAGAATGACCCCAAAGCAAAAGAGTAGTGATGCTGGCAATTCGAATATGCCAAAGAGAAGTTGTAAAGTGCTTTCTTTAAGTGAAAAAGGTGAAAGTTCTCGACTGAATAAGGAAAGAAGAAAACCATATGCTGAAGTTACTAAGATCTATGGCAACTTTTACTACAGTATATTGTTATAATAGTTCTATTTTTTTATTGTTGTTAATCTCTTACTGTGCCTAATTTATAGATTAAACTTTATCATAGGTATGTATGTGTAGGAAGAAACAGTATTTGTAGGGTCTGGTACTATCCGTGGTTTTAGGCATCCACTGGGAGTCTTGGAACATGTCCCCTGAGGAGATAAGGGAGGGACCATGGTAAATGGAAATTCAAACGGGCTGGCAGTTCTGGGAGAAGAGTCAAAGAGAGAAGATAGATTTTGAAAAATGGAATATAGTTTTAGGAACCCAAGTTTAGCAGGTACCGGAACCCCAAAGTTTAGGTGAAAAGATTTTTTTTAATTGTTGAAGTGAGATGGGGAAAATACTGAAAACTAAGAACAAGGTCATCCTTAGAGGCATGACTGAATATTATGCTACAACCACATCATGAGACACTATGAGGACATTCAAGAGAATAGAAAAGAGCTATAGTTGAACTTTGAAGGATTTTCTCTAGCTATCTTTGAGTGAAAAAAATAAGATGCAGAGAAGTGCCTTTAATGTGATCTCTTTTTTTTTTTTTTTTTGAGGAAGATTAGCCCTGAGCTAACATCTGCTGCCAATCCTCCTCTTTTTGCTGAGGAAGGCTGGCCCTGAGCTAACATCCGTGCCCATCTTGCTCTACTTTATATGTGGGACGCCTACCACAGCGTGGCTTGTCAAGCGGTGCCAAGTCCTCACCCGGGATCTGCACTGGCGAACTCCAGGCCCCCAAAGCTGAACGTGCGAACTTAACTACTGCGCCACCAGGCAGGCCCGTGATCTCATTTTTGTAAAGCAAACAGCACATTAAACCTTGTACATTGACAATGTTGAATTTTACCTGAGCCCTGTGCCCCTGAAAAATAGTGATGGTTAAGAAACCTCCCACCCTTCTGTGCTCTTAGAAGTGGCATGTTGCAAAGAAACCCTTGCCCACATGACTTAGGTAAGACCCAGAGATGCTCCCTTTTTCATCTATGAAAAGGCCAGACAAAGACCCTCCAAGTTCCCATCCTTTGCCTCATAAATGGTTGACTGAACTGCTTGTCCCCCTGACCAATTGGAACAAAAGGCTCGTTAACCAAACTGGTTAACTTCCTCTTCTTCCTCTAGGCCTGGGAACTTTCACCCACCTCAGCCTGAGCCCATGTGACCCCTCCCACCCCCACCTTAACAGGTCCATTCCTGAGAATATGCTTGCCTCAGGGTAAAACATTCTCTGATCTACCATCCATTCCAGCCACCCTTTCATCCACTTTCCCCCAGACAGGGAAGAGTTCCCCTCCTCCTATTGCAATAACCCCCACCCGCTTGCAATAATTCTTTCAAATAAAGAATTACCTAAATCAGATTTGGTTTTTATTTGACAATATGTATATGGTTATGTGAGCATGGAGAAAAGTGTAGGATACATGTCAACACAAGTGACCTTAAAAAAGTTAAAGGATGCAGAAAGAAATAGAAAAAGAAAACAGCACTTAAAAATACGCTCCAGCATGTACGATACAGTCCCTTTTATACAAATGTGTGTTCTGTATAAATATGTGAGAGTAAAAGATGGATTTAGATACTATGGCAGGCTGAATAATGTCCCCCTGAAATAATACCCAGTTCCAAATCCCTAGAGCCCGAGAATGCTGCTTATATAGCAAAAAGGACTTTGCGGAGGTGATTAAATTATGTGTTTTGAGATAAGGAGATTATCCTAAATTACCTGGGAGGCCATAATGTAATCACAAGTGTCCTTATAAAAGGGAAGCAGAGGGAGATTTACGCAGAAGAGCAGGTGATACGATGATGGAAGCAGAGATTGGAGTGATGCCCTTTGAAGACGGAGGAAGCGCCACAAACCAAGGATTAAAGGCGGCCCCGAGAAGCTCAGAGCCTCGAGAAGGAAGTAGCCCTGACAACTTAAGCCTTAACTGCAGCCCAATAAAACTGATTTCAGACTTCTGACCCCCAGAACTGTAAGAGAAGAAATTTGTGTTGTTTTAAGCCGCTAAGTTGGTGATCGTTGGTTATAGCAGCCACGGGAAATAAATGCAGATGTATATACACTATCTTGTAGAGATCGTAATATACTGTCAAGTGAAAAAAGCAAGTTGCAGAGTTGCAAAATAATTGTATAATAGGATTCCATTTTAGTAAAAGCCACCAATTTAGTCGCTAAATATCTTTATATATACATATACATCTATATATGCATATATTTATGCTTGCTTGTCCTTACATGAGCAAGAAGAAGGGTGTGGGAGAATACACACCAGGCTATTGATATTGGTTTAAGTCATGAGAGCGGTGGGGTCAGGGGTGAGGAGAGGGAATAAGGGAGGAGAAATTGTGCTTTGTGTTCTTAACTATGGGCATATACTACTTCTGTAATTTGAAAAATATTCAATTAAGACGTTTTTCAATACGTCACATTAATCCTAATTTAAAACATGTTAGGTTTAACATATCACCCCCACAGGGAAATGGGGCCAGGAAATATAGCCAACCACTAATGTGGATTCTAAAGTTATGGACAGGGGCCGGCTCCGTGGCTGAGTGGTTAAGTTCCTGCGCTCTGCTGTGGCGGCCCAGGGTTCGGATCCTGGGCACGGACATGGCACCGCTCGTCAGGCCAAGTTGAGGCGGCGTCCCACATGCCACAACTAGAAGGACCCACAACGAAGAATACACAACTATGTACCCGGGGGCTTTGGGGAGAAAAAGGAAAAAAATAAAATCTTCAAAAAAAAAAAGATATACAACTGTGTACAGGGGGGGTTGGGGAGATAAAGCAGAAAAAAAGAAAAGAAAAAGATTGGCAACAGTTGTCAGCCCAGGTGCCAATCTTTAAAAATAAACAAATAACTTTAAAAAATAAATAAATAAACAAATAAATAAAGTTATGGACAAAGTTCTATGTGTTTTCTAAACAGAAAATCCTCCTTAGAGAGAAGCAACAGTAGTACTGCTCTAGCATGGCTGCACAATGAGCTCATCCCCTCACTGAGGGTTATTGATCAGTCTACGTTATTTTGGTATCAGGATTAAAATACATTGCTCTATGGGCACCAATCCACAAGTTTTTTCAAGGAAATTTACTGAAAAAGAATTATTTAGGTGTTGGAGGTTTTGCATGAAATAACCGTCCTTTTTCAAGTACTAAAAATCACCTACCCTTATTGAGCACCTTCTGTGTGCCAGATACTTTATATACACTTTCAATCCTGTTCCAGTTGTCTACTGTATGTATCAGATCACCCCAAATCTCAGTGGCTTTAAACAATAATCATTTTATTATCTCTTGCGGTTTCTGTGGGTCAAAACTTTAAGAAGCTCTGGGCCGGGCGGTTCTTGCTCAAGGTCTTTCATGCAGTTGGTCAGAGGTAGCTGACGCTAGAAGGCAGAGGCATGGGGGGTGGGGAGGTGTTAGGACTGGAGCATCTGGGGGCTGATCAGCACCCCCCTCTCCTCTTAGTTCCATGTGGTCTCTTGTCGTGGGCTAATCTGGGCTTTCTCACGGCCTGGCGACTTTAGGGAAGTTGGTCTGCTTACATGGCAGCTGGTTTTCC